AAAGTGGCCAAGTTTGGACAACACTGTGCTAAGGGAAGTCTGAGGGCTTCAGTTCTTCTGCTCAGCTCCTTGGTCTTTCATGTGAATGATGAGGCAGAATTTCTATCCATTTTGATTACTTGATTCTGAATATCATATCATTTAATACAATTATATTTGTTTCCTAGCTGAGGAAATAAGTTTCTTTGATAGGCCTACATGGATTAAAGTCCCATTTAAGGGAGAAGCAAACTTAACACTCAAGTTAACAACCACAGGATCAAGCTGCCCATCCCTTGCTTTTGTTAGGAAACACTGTCAGCCCTCTGAGGTTCAACAAAAGTCCTGGACTCGTATTATGGGATGTCGGGTTTTGAGGAAATAGGAGAATCACACTCACTTTTTTCATAATAAGACACTCCATACACTTGCTTGATCTCCTTCGGAAGACGCTCCCAGACGCTCCTGAAGTTGTTGTGCAAGTTTTTATCATTGGTGATTGCAGTTCGGAAGTAACCTGGCTCTATTACGCAGACTTTCACTCCAAAGTTAGAGACCTCAATCCTGGGGAAAAAAAAATGTATGTATGTATATATATGTGTGTGTGTGTGTGTGTGTGTGTGTATCATGTACAACAGGTCCTGAAAGAGAGTTATGGCTGTCACATCTTGAAAAATGTGAGAGCATGAGACAGATCATTTCTTAGTAATGGACAAAAGAAAGAACTGAAAGGAAAAAAAGAGTGGAAGTAGAACAAATACAAAATGAGAAAGTATAAATTCTGTATGAAAAGTATTATAAGACAGATTAATCTCCCAACAGAAAACATGAAGAGTACAGGTAGTCCTCGACTTATGACAATTGAGACCATAAAATTCATCGTTAAGTGGTGTGGTCATTAAGTGAAGCATCACGTGTCCACAACCAATTTTACTACCCTTTTTTGCCGCAGTTGTTAAGCGAATCACATGGTTCCCCATTGAATTTGCTTGTTGGAAGCTGGCTGGGAAGGTTGCAAATGGCAATCACATGATCTCAGGGTGGTGCAACCATTGTAAATACATGCCAGTTGCCAAGCACCCAAATTTTGATCATGTGACCATGGGGGCACTGGGATGGTCGTAAGTCCGAGGACCAGTCAAAAGCCACTTTTTCAGCACCATTGTAACTTTGGTCATTAAACAAATGGTCATAAGTCGAGGACCACCTGTAGTTGTAAGGCTCTTGGAACAAAGTAAAAGAATTATATTCTGTGCTATAGAAGTATGCAGTGTTACACTAACAGGAAGTATAAAAAAGGATGCTTGATGGAATGATGAAATGAAAGAGGCTGTGAATGAGCAAAAAATGAGGATAAAAGAAAAATGGGTTTAGAAAGAAAAGGGGTTGCAAAGAATATAATACAAGAGCTAGGAATGGTCCAGATTAAAAGAGAGAAAATGCAGAGTGATTATGATAGATATAAAAAATGATTGTGGAAGTAGGTGAACAATGCAAATCTAGTATCCGTTTGAAGGCTCTGCGCCACAGCTTGGGCTCGGTGTTTCCCTCAACTCCCAGAGCGCTCCACCCACTAGAGAGTGCTAGACTGCAATCTCTTCACAGGGAATCTCTGTAAGGAGTACCTGTGGATGATCCTGTTGATCTCCTTTATCTGGGGATGATTCCAAAGAGCTGGACTGGACTGAGGCCAGCTCCTTTAATTGCCATGGCTGCTGGCTCCACAAGGAACTTCTCTCTCTCTCTCTCTCTCTTTCTTCCTTTTCTTTTTGTTTGTAGGTTTTTAGTTTTGTATTAGTTTTGTTTTATATATATATAAACTTTAATAAAAATATTTTAAAAAGAAAGAAAGGATACAGTGCAACAAATACAAATCTGAAAATTGAGTGACAAAAGATATCTTTGATGGGGAAAGCAGACGTTGTATCTACACAGAAAGAAACTAGAACATGTTAATTCGTATGCCTTGATAGAACATTTAGTGTTCTTCTGTCCACTTTGTTATAAGGAAGTGAGAATTGGATATAATCTAATATATAAAAGTAATTTGAATGCAGTGGGAATGGGGTATTTAAGAATGTCTGTCTGTCTATCATAAAGCAAGAAGAGATGGGTCAATTTTTTAAAAAATATATTTTTATCTTATTTATACTATCTATAGGCTGCCTGACTCCTGACTCTGGGTGGCTTACAATTAAAAAGTTTTTAAAAATTACAAAAGAAAAAAAATCACGAGCAGCCCAAAAACAAGATAAAACCAAAAAACCCATCCAGCAGGTGCTCAACCTTCCCTTTGCCCCAAAGCCTGGGAGAATAGCCAGGTCTTCAGTAACTTCTTGATCATCATCAGGGTGGGAACCATCTAGATCTCTAGGGGGGTATCATCCCAGAGGGGAGGCATGGCCCACTGTGGAAGAGCAGGCTGCTTAAGAAAATTGAAGGCAGCTGTGCTACCTTAACAGAGAAGGCCTGCTTCCTGGGTCTTGACACTGCCAGATTAATGGGACCCAAAGCATGCTCACTCTGTCCAATTTCACCGGATGGGCCAAAACAACCAGAGATAGGTGGTCCCTCAAATAACCAGGCCCTATGGCATGGAAGGCTTTACAGGGGATAACTAGCACCGTGAATTGCACCTGGAAGTCAATTGATAACCAGTACAGCTCCTGGAGTAGTGGGGTCACATGGGCATAATGAGACATGCTCATCACTGCCCACACTGCTGTATTCTAGACCAGCTGTAGCTTCCAAGTGGTCTTCAAGAAAAGCCACCCCCCCCCACCGCCCGGTAGAGTACACTTCAGTAATCCATTTGCAAAGTGACTAAGGCATGAGTGACTATCTGAAGAGCCTCCCAGTCCAGGAGAGGGTGCACTAGGAACACTGTGCAAAGGCCCTCTTTGCACATTTCTGTATGAATGGGTATTGCATGAATGTGGACAAAAGTGAGTGAGCAATATGAAGTACAGTGGAACCTCGAGTTACGAATTTAATCCGTTCCGTGACTCTGGTTGCAACTCGAATTGGTCGCAACATGAGGCA